TCTCCTTCCCCCGGGGAAGCGCATAAATACTGTCGGAAGCTTCTCATCTTCTCTTTCGGGTTTCCCCTACACCTGTCGGAGCAACAAAAAAAAATCCTCCCCCCCTCTCCAACTTTTTTTACGCCCCACCAACCTTTTCGAGGGGGGGGGGGGGGGGGGCAGGAATTAGGGGAAACGAAAGCAGACGACAGAACATGGTTAGAGCAGGAAAGGTGGTGAAATGAGAAATTTTTTAGAATTAAATTGTCCGTCACTGTCACTACTGTCAGGTTTCGAACCCGGGACCTTTATTGAATGAGAAGCGAACACCGTAACACCTCGAGGTATATATTATAGGCCCCATGTGAAACAAGATGCATTAATACATGTAGATCTATAATTATATTCGATTTTCGTTATTGAATAATAATCGATATCTGATCTTAATTTGCAAAAGGTCAGAAGTTTCTTTCTTATTTCTTTGCTGACGTTGTTCCCTGCATAATATTATTATGAATTATATATACGTTCAGCATTGTACAGGGTTTGTTGCTGACAGTTTAAATTCACTGCCATGGTCTGTCGGACTGCGTAACTTAGCTTTATTATATAACGAGGCCTAACCTAACTTTGGCAAGAAAGCCCTCAATAACTGGAACACTAACTTTTAAAGTTTATAATTGGGAGAGAGAGAGAGAGAGAGAGAGAGAGAGAGAGAGAGAGAGAGAGAGAGAGGAGAGAGAGAAAGAGATAAAGATAGATAGACGTGAACTAAATGTAGCCAGGCGTACCGTTATAATAATTATAGCCTAAGCGCATTCACTTCTAGCAATAAGTACACAGTCATCCCAAATATCCATAAACTAACTGATCTGTTCAGTAATACATTATAGATGATATATTAAGAACTTAGAAAAACTTTATTGCCAAAATAACATAAAGAGTAGGCCTAGGCAATGCACATAACTATTATAATATGCATGAAGCAGTTCATTATATCTATTGTTTTTAGGTATATTTGTACTGAATGATAGAATGATAAATAAAGTGTGTTGGACGTGGTAGATTCACACACACACACACACACACACACACACACACACACACACACACACACACACACACACACACACACACACACACACACACACACACACACACACATACACAAACACACATACACACACACACACAGCCTACACAAACACACACACACACACACACACACACACACACACACACACACACGACACATCTTTCTATAGGCCATATCCTTAGCGTACGCTAAGGCCATATCCCTTCCCCATTTTTCATCGGATCTTTGCCTCCCCTTTCTCATTCAACACTTTTTTACCTTAATTATTGCTTTGTACAAGCAGGTATATTAAAATAAGCGAATCCCAACGACTATATACGTACACGATTTATTTCCTTCTCCTTGAAATGTCACCATTTCAGTAAAGATAATATACATTACAGTACAGCACACACACACATATATATATATATATATATATATATATATATATATATATATATATATATATATATATATATATATATATATATATATATATATATATATATATATGTATATATAAATATAATGTTTTTACTTACATTTTTTTAGAGTTTTGAATAATAATTCCCAACCACCCCCCCAAAACCCCCCCCCAAACACACACACACACACACACACACACACACACACACACACACACAAAATAAGAAAAAATGCGGGTGTACGCGATATTATATTTATGAGGGAAATATGTATCTGTATGTCTGACATATAGCTGTTTGCAGGTGAGGGGTTATGTGAGGCAATATATATTTTTGGAGCCCACTCAACTTTGGAGAAGTGCTCAATTAGAGGAGCTTTGGGGAGAGTCAAATTCCAAGAAGGAAAAGACACATGTTTCCGCCCCAATGAAAAAGAGGAACGAGAAACGACACTACCAGACCGGGGCCCGCTTTCACAGCAGGCAAATTCCAGTCGTGTCCCCATTGGGTATACACCAGAGTGGAATACACCACGGAGTAACGGTCTTTGGCGTCACGACCGACTGAAGAAGTTGCGAGTTACTTCCCATGTGTTTTTCCTACTTCCTAAAATAGCGCAGGATCAGCCCCCCCCCCCCCCCCACAAAAACAACAGTTTCCTGTTCTTTCTCGGTCCTTGCTCGCCGGTCAAAGATTTTACGGTACAGGCAAGTCAGATAACTGTGTTTGTTCATTTGTCTCACTGTCGTGTTATTGTCGTTGCTGGTCACTGGTCATTTTTATTCTATTTTTTAATGAAAGGTTTGTAGAATGCACATTGAAATGGTAAAAGTTGTGTCTTGTGTCGTTGTTTAGAATCTAATCTAGATCTAGACTAGATTCTAGACTTCTTATAGACTTATATTTCGTTTTCTTATCTACAAGTGTTCGATCTATAATGACAGTGACGTGAAAAGTTCACGTTGGAATGAATAAGTAGATCTAGATCTATATCTAGATCTAGATATAGATCTAGATCTAGATATGACATATGATGTATACACATTGTCCTCCGATGATCTGGTCCCAGATCATGACCAAGCAAGGAACTTAGAACTATTGGAGCCTCCTCTCTCTCTTCGCGGCGCCACGAGCAGTACGCCGCGGTGGGGATCAAATATGGCATGGCGACCGACTGTGGGCTAAATCACGAACTGTGGCGTTTCTTTTTATAGAATCTTATCGGGCTGGGCCACGTTGTGGGGGTGGACGGGGTGGGGGAATGCACGCAAGGAAGAGGAGATGGGGCTGGGATGAAAGAGGAGGGGCGGGCCTTGGGAAGGGACGAAGGAGAATGGGAAAAATTAAATAAGAGAGAGAGAGAGAGAGAGAGAGAGAGAGAGAGAGAGAGTGTGAGTGAGACAGACAGACAGACAGACAGACAGACAGACAGACAGAGAGAGAGAGAGAGAGATTGTGATCAACAGACGCGCTGATGGATAATGACAGGGAGAAAAAAAAAGTATGTGTGTGATACGGACTGTTCAATTCTTTAAGAGTTTTATGTTATAATCTAGTTTAAAAATCAAAAAGATGTGTAAAATGAGAAGAAAACTTGTCCGAGTAACATAAAATTATCAAACATACCAAATTATAAAGATAATCTTTCAAGATGCTAAAATATTTAATTATAAGAAATAGATAAAAATATTTATATACTTTTAAACAGAATTTAAGATTATGATTGCATGATTCTAGGCGTGCACCATAACTAACTTTATGTGTAAGGAATTGCGGACACAAAAGAGGGTCGATATTTGTTTATCTAATGGCTAACAGTATGTCTTGGTCTATAACTAATATTATTGATCACAATAATTTTGTTTCCTGGTTTTCACAAAGTGGAGCGCACAATTATTTCATATATCTTTAAAAAAAAGAAGATAACCGCACCCTTGGAGGTGCGATCGCATGCATGAGGGTGGATAACCTTTGAAGGTTTTTTTGTTGTTGTTTGTTCAGTAAAGTATGATATGGAGAGCAGCCTTTTTAGTCCCTTATTACATTCCAGAGGGGGATAATTTATCTTAGTGATGACTCTTGTGTAGTAAAATTTGTTGTTGCTTTGTTTGGTTTATTTTTTTAACAGCAGAATCTTAAGTGAACCGGAATTATTGATTGTGGGATCTTAGGTGAAGACTACAACAATAGAATTAAACCGAGTATAGTTCTATCCAACAAGACTCAAACTCTTATCCACCCCACCCTACCCTCTCCCCTCATCTGATATGGTTTGGTGTTTCTTTAACATAGAAAATATTCATCAATTATTGTTGTTGAGTATTGATTTCATGTTCTAATGGAGCCTCTAGATATCTAACATTTAGACTACAGTAGCATCTAATTTGCACACACAAAGGAAAGCAATATCTTTAATTAAAATGTATAATGTGTATATACATACACACACATAATAATTATATAAACTCATAATAATTATATATATTTATGAATAAGAATACTTAAAAAAAATTGAGTATCTCAGTCTTTTTGCTGGGGTGTTGTATCCCTTTCAGCCTGGGTTGGCCTTGGCATATAGCGCCGGAGCCAGCCTCTTATGAATA